GGAATGGGAATGGGGAGAGGGGATGGGAGTGGGGAGAGGGAAATGGGAATGGGGAAAGGGAATGGGAATGGGAATGGGGAGAGGGAAATGGGAATGGGGAGAGGGGATGGGAGTGGGAATGGGGAGAGGGAAATGGGAATGGGGAGAGGGAATGGGAAAAGGGGAATGGGAATGGGGAGAGAGGATGGGAGTGGGGAGAGGGAAAAGGGGAATGGGGAGAGGGGATGGGAGAGGGAGAGGGAATGGGAGTGGGAAAAGGGAATGGGGATGGGGAGTGGGAAAAGGGAATGGGAAGGGGAATGGGGAGAGGGAATGGGAGTGGGAAAAGGGAATGGGAATGGGAATGGGGGAAAGGGAAAAGGGGAATGGAAATGGGAATGGGAATGGGAAAAGGGGAATGGGAACGGGAGTGGGAGCGGGGCAGGGAACAGGGGAATGGGAACGGGGAGCAGGGCCGGGGGAGCGGAACAAAGCGAGCGCTCGTTCAGGAAATGACAACAAAACCCCCGGTGCCCCCCGGCCCTGGCACGGCCCCGGTGCCCCCCGGTGCCCCCCGGCCCTGGCACGGCCCCGGTGCCCCCCGGTGCCCCCCGGCCCTGGCACGGCCCCGGTGCCCCCCGGTGCCCCCCGGCCCTGGCACGGCCCCGGTGCCCCCCGGTGCCCCCCGGCCCTGGCACGGCCCCGGTGCCCCCCGGTGCCCCCCGGCCCTGGCACGGCCCCGGTGCCCCCCGGTTGGGGACAGGGGCAGGGGCAGTGGTCACTCTGGTCACTCTGAGGTGACCACAGTTGCATGGGAGGGGCCGGGGAGGCCTCAGAGGTGTCCTGGAGGCTCTGGCCAGAGTGGACACTGGGGACATGGACACAGGGGACACTGGGGACATGGCCAGAGTGGACAGAGGGGACATGGCCAGAGTGGACACTGGGGACATGGCCAGAGTGGACAGAGGGGACATGGCCAGAGTGGACAGAGGGGACATGGCCAGAGTGGACAGAGGGACATGGCCAGAATGGACAGAGGGGACATGGTGGACAGTGGGGACATGGCCAGAGTGGACAGAGGGGACATGGCCAGAGTGGACAATGGGGACATGGCCAGAGTGGACAGAGGGACATGGCCAGTGGCCACACGGCCACCAACCCAGCAGGAGCTGCTGACCCAGCTGCAGCCACGTCCTCGTGTCCAGTCCTCGTGTCCAGTCCTCACTTGCACACTGGGGGTCACTGCCCACCCTGTCCCCTCCCCTGGTGACACCCCCTGCCCGCCGTGTCCCCCCCCCCGCGGTGACACCTCCCTGTCCCCTGGCCAGCCCTAATTAGCCGGGGACATTCCCGGCATAGCTGCAGCCCCTAATGAGGCTCCATAAAGCCCGGCCGGCTCCTGGGGCTGCTCGTAAAATCCCCCCTTAAAGTCCCCCCTTGAAATCCTCCCCCATTAAAACTCCCCCCTTGAAATCCCCCCTTAAAACCCCCCATAAAATCCTCCTCTTTAAAAATCCCCCATTAAAAATCCTCCTTAAAAATCCCATTAAAATCCCCCCATTAAAAATTAAAAATCCCCCCTAAAATCCCCTTTTACAGTCGAGGGGCCAGGCCGGGACCCCAAGTGTCCCCAGCCTTGTCCCGGCTGTCCCCAACCCTGTCCCAAAGGTCCCCAGCCCTGTCCTGAATGTCCCCATGGCAATGTCCCCGTGCCAGGGGTCAGCAGTGGGGGCGTTGTCCCCATGCCAGCCTCGGACTGTCCCCTGGGGCTGTCCCCAGTGTCACCCCCAAGGTCCCCTGTGGAACCTTCCAGAGCCCAAATCCTTCCCCCGCCCCCCGGAGGTGACAAAGGTGACAATGGTGACATCGCCACCCCCAGAGCGCGGGGGGTGGAGCTGAAACCTTGGAACTCTCGGATTATTTCTCTACTTTTTTTAAAAAAACATTTTTAATTTTTTTTTTTTTTTATTCTTTCTTTTTATATTTTCCCCCGGGTCCCCCCGGAGCGACAGAACGAGGGACAAAAACAACGAACGGACCAACAGAAAAGGAACCTAAGACGTCACGCACAGCCCGAGAGCGGGAAATAATTAGAATAATTAGAATAATTAGAATAATAATATACTCGGGGGGTGCCACCCCCCGCCACCCCCTGCCTGTGGCACCAGTCAGAGCCGGGCACTGGGACCACTGGGTACTGGGACCAGTCAGAGCTGGGTACTGGGACCAGTTAATCCCGGGCACTGGGACCAGTCAGAGCCGGGCACTGGGACCAGTTAATCCCGGGCACTGGGACCAGTCAGAGCCGGGCACTGGGACCAGTCAGTCCTGGGTACTGGGACCAGTCAGAGCTGGGTACTGGGACCAGTTAATCCTGGGCACTGGAACCAGTCAGAACTGGGTACTGGGACCAGTCAGAGCTGGGTACTGGCACCAGTTAATCCCGGGCACTGGGACCAGTTAATCCCGAGCACTGGCACCAGTTAGTCCTGGGCACTGGGACCAGTCAGAGCCGGGTACTGGGACCAGTTAGTCCCAGACACTGGCACCAGTGGTGCCCACGGTGGGGACTGGTTCAGGAATGCCCGGGGATAACTGGTCCCAGTTTCCAGCTCTGACTGGTCCCAGTTTCCAGCTCTGCCCGGTCCCAGTGCCCGCCCTGCCCGTCCTGTGCCCTTCGGTGCCACCAGCCCCGGGGCCTCGCGGGGGTTTTTGGGCACCGCGGCTTTGGGGCTCCAGGGCCCTCCCAGTCCCTCCCAGTCCCTCCCAGTCCCTCCCAGTCTCTCCCAGTCCCTCCCAGACTGGGACCAGTTAATCCCGAGCACTGGCACCAGTTAGTCCTGGGCACTGGGACCAGTCAGAGCCGGGTACTGGGACCAGTTAGTCCCAGACACTGGCACCAGTGGTGCCCACGGTGGGGACTGGTTCAGTGCCCGGGGATAACTGGTCCCAGTTTCCAGCTCTGACTGGTCCCAGTTTCCAGCTCTGACTGGTCCCAGTTTCCAGCTCTGCCCGGTCCCAGTGCCCGCCCTGCCCGTCCTGTGCCCTTCGGTGCCACCAGCCCCGGGGCCTCGCGGGGGTTTTTGGGCACCGCGGCTTTGGGGCTCCAGGGCCCTCCCAGTCCCTCCCAGTCCCTCCCAGTCCCTCCCAGTCTCTCCCAGTCCCTCCCAGTCTCTCCCAGTCCCTCCCAGCGGTTCCGGACCTTTCCCGGTGGGGGCAGCGCTGGGCCGGGGGGTGTCCCCTGCCCCCCGCCAGCCCCGGAGCCCCCCGGGCACGGACGGGCAGGGCCGGGGGAACCCCGAGCCCGGGCTGGCACCCCCGGCCACCTCGGGGGGCTGGCGACCACCACGAGGGGCTGCGGCCACCACGGGGGGCTGGTGACCACCACGGGGGGCTGGTGACCACCACGGGGGGCTGGTGACCACCACGGGGGGCTGCGACCACCACGGGGGGCTGGTGACCACCACGGGGGGCTGGTGACCACCACGGCGGGTTTTTGACCACCACGGCGGGTTTGTGACCACCACGGGGGGCTGGTGGCCACCGGGCCAGGCTGTGCCCCTTTTGGGGGGCGCGGGGGGCTGTCCCTCCCCTTCCTGCCCCCCCCGGCTGTCCCCGTCCCCTCGCCTCGGCCCCCGCCGGCGCCACCAGGGCGGTGACATCGGGCGGTGGCACCAGCCTGGCACCAGGGGCCCCTTAAGTGCTGCGGCGCCAGGAGGGGGGGCCCGGGGGGGCCCCTCGGCCCCGTGAGCGCTCCGGGGCTCCGCGGGGCTGCGGCGGAGCCGGCGACAAGTGCTAAAGATCCCGGGTGGCCCTGGAGTCCCCCCTAAGTGCTGCTCCCGCCCGGAGCCCCCCGGGCTGCGGCACCCGGGGGATAAGTGCTGGGGGGCCGCGGGGGCTTCTCCCCCTCCCGGAGCCTCCCCCGGCGCCGGGGCCGGCAGGGAACCGCAGGAGCCGCGGCGGAGCCTCGGGACACGCGGGGGGGTTCGTTCTCACGTGAAACAAACACCAACAACAGGAAAAAAAAATAAAAAAAAAAAACAAAACTAAACCAAAAAAAAAAAAAAAAAAAAAAAAAAAAAAAAAACAAAAA